TGTTGACCAGGATGGTCTCGATCTCTTGACCTCGTGATCCACCCACCTCGGCCTCCCAAAGTGCTGGGATTACAGGCTTGAGCCACCGCGCCTGGTGCCTAAATATCTTTTAGTATACTGTTAGCTTCTTTAGGATATGAGCTAAATTATATTTGTTTTATAGTCTTGGGTAAATAACGTACTTGACACACAGGAGATACTCTGCAAATGTTTAATAGATGTTAGAGTTGAATTTCAGGCTTTGTAATGTCACAGAAACAGGAGTCAGAAGAGCTGATCCAAACTCAAGATCTGCCCCTACCTTGCCTCTTATTCTTTCTGGCCTCCATTTCCACAATTATAAAATTGTGGATCTCAGCTCACTGCATCCTCTGCCTCCTGGGTTCAAGCAATTCAGCAGAAGAAATTTCTAGGCAGCAAAGCATTCAAGATGTGGCCTGGCTGATGCTAGTGGCCTACAATCAGATACAAAGAAATAATTTAAAGTTGTAACTTACATTTAAAAGGGAAGCAGAGCATATAAGTTTGGAAAATTAACAGGCTAGTCATGTGGCACAGAAGGAAAAAGCACTTTTAGGAGAGGAATACAAGCAGGCTACAGGAATATAGTTGCCCATACTGGACTCAAACTCATTGGTTCAAGCAATCCTTGTTCCTTAGCCTCCCAAGTAGCCGGGGTTATAGGCTTGGGCCATCATGCTCAACTATTCACCTTATATTGCTGTCCAAAATGTTTTTATTTAAGGCAACCTGGGATAGTAAAAGTACTTCTAATAATTAAACACTCTTGCCATTAGTATCTAGTTGTGTAACCATAAAGTTATTTAATATTTCTTGAGTCTCAATACCTACCACTAGCAGAGATTTAGTGAAGATGAGCCATAATGTATTTAACACTTTAATGGCACTTATTTAGAAGGTCCTCAGGAAATTGTATTATTCTTCCAAGATCTTTTTTTTTTTTTTCTTTAAAAGACGGGATTTCACCATGTTGGTCAGGCTGGTCTTGAACTCCCAGCCTCAAGTGATCCACCCGCCTTGGCCTCCTAAGTGCTTGGATTACAGGCGTGAGCGACCACGCCCAGCCTCTTCCAAGATCTTTCTAAATTGCCTTATTCACCTAAAGAGACTTGGCCTTGAGCCTTTGTAGACTTTCTCATTGGTGACTCCTTCATTGCTTAGAATGTCATGATTCCACCAGCCAGGTTATTCTCATCTACATGTATTTTTCTTACATCTGAGGACTCAGTCTGTTTTTCTCTAGCAATTATCTTCAAGGTTTGTGCTTTCAATAACCTTACTATTTGGCATTATGACACTAATATGTGCCCATGA